GAAAAAAAAAAAAAAAAAAAAAAAAAAAAAAAAAAAAAAAAGAAAAGAAAAGAAATCCAATTTAGTTTGAAGCTAGCTTATAGAAGTCTGAAGCAGTTTGATCTTGATTGGCTCAGTTCAATATACTCATACAACCAAAAAATGTCTCCATTCTGAGGGGTCTCCAAAAGGGCCAGAGACTTTGTGAGTTCTTAACCGGCTTTCATGAAAGACTAGGCAGCTGGTTTAGCCCACCCTAGAATAGAATTATTACTGCCTCCTAGAACTAAATTCCCCCAACATTTCCAGTCCATCCCTACACTTACTACCCTGATCCACAATCATATCAAAAACATACATGGGAGGGCCAGCCCGGTGGCGCATTGCTATAGTGCGCCGCTTGGGAGTGCGGTGGCGCTCCCGCCAAGGGTTCGGATCCCACATANAAAAAAAAAAAACATGAGTTAAATGAAAAGAACCAGTTTTCAAATAGAGGATCATTTCTGCCCAAAGTTCCTCACGTTCCTGGTAAATGCAACCACTTCAGTGATTTAAACTCTTGTTAACCTAACACAGTCCTACGAAACATGTAAAAAGTTTATTGAACAGGATTCAAATATTAAAACAGGCATCCTTTAGATACTCCGTACTGCAATATTTATATCCGATTGGGCATATGCTTCTACTGGACTCAGCTTTAAAGGTGCAAGCTTAATCAGTAATTACTCAAATACATAAAAGATAACGTATCAGTGTACTAAATGGTTTGGGATATCACAGAATCTTAGAGTTAGAAGAGACTGTTAGAAGTCATCTCATTCAACACAATACAGAATTTGTTCTATAATGTTCCTAGACTAGGCTACCATCACGCATTCACTAAACTACTGCGAAAGCTTCCAAACAGATCTACTTCCACACTTTTCCCTTTCTGATCATTCACCAGCAGCTAGCAGGAACTTCTCAACAGGTAAATCAGATTGTGCCGCTTTCTGCTTGAAACTATTTAAAGGATTCCACCCACAAACTCCATGACACGGCTTCTGCCAGCCTCTTAGACCTGCCGTCACCTCACAGCTCATTCCTCTTGCCACACACAGAATTTGTGTTTGCTCCTCGGGCTCCGTATGGTGCTCTTCCAATTCAACCCTCCTTATTCCTCCCTCCCAAGACCACCTCCATCCATCTCATGCTTCCGATGTCAGCTTTAAAAGCAAAGCAAAACAAAACACCTCCTCAGAGAGGCTTCCTTTTTAACACCTGTCTCCACCTAATTCTATATCTGCTTGTTTTCATCTTAGGACATATGCCAATTTTTAATTATTTATTTATTTGGTTTTGATCCATCTTCCCCAGCAGACAGTAATAAAGCTCCATGAACACAGGGATCTTGTCTGTCTGCTTATTTCTCTCCCGGATCCCAAACAAATAGAAGGTACTCAATAGTTATCAACTGTACTTATCAATGGTCACCCAAACTCTGAAATCTCTAGTGATGGGAGACTAACTAAATAGCAAAGTAATTAACCTCAATTTTTCTTCTTCTGAACTGAAATCTGTCCTCTGGGTCTTAAATTTCCTCCTATAACCAGCCAAATCAGGGCTGAGCCCTTGAACTTGATCAGGACTGGGGCTTAACCTTCTGGTTCTTAATCTTTTGGGGGGAGGGGGGGTTGAGAACTTCAAAAAATAAATCTTTTGAAGGCAATGGGCTCTCTCCTCTCAAGAAAACAGCACATCCCCACACAGCAATAAAACATTTGAGGGGTTTCATCCCCCCCCC